ATTGGTTATGTGGGTAATCACACTCCGACTATGTGCTTATGGTCTTGTCCTCTTCCCTGCAGGCCTGGGCCAAGTGCTGGAATTCATGTACACAGCCAAGCTGAACCTGACCCCTCAGAACGTAGACGATGTTCTCGCAGTTGCTGGGTTCTTGCAGATGCAGGAGATCGTCAGCGCCTGCACTGCTTATAAAACCCTGACTGCTTCCGTGCCGACTTCTGGAGAGGGATCCTTCACTGTCGGTATGTACTGGTGCCGGGAGGTAGTCACCCCTAGACCTTTGTCAAGTGCCCCAAGAACACATACTGCTGTCTCAGGTGTCCATTAACCCCCATCTGCATTTAAGGTCTTGGAGCAGCTCTGTGAGAACTTCCTACAACAATCACAACAGTGATGTTTGGACTATTCTAATTTATATTCTGTTTCTTCATCAAGCTCGTGCTTTTATCCACTGTGCTGTAGTAGTTAATCATGCAGAATAGGGGCAGCAGCCGCTCTCCAAGAGGAGTGATGTGGCTCTCGAGTCAGGCGCTCGGGCTCGACTCTCGGATCCTCCTGCCGGTTGAGCGGGGCAGCAGGGTGCAGACCCCCGAGCGGCCGTGCTCCGGCGATCACCGCGCCACAGTGTCTGATCCGCCTGGCCCTCCGCAGATCCTGGGAAGACGGAGGGGCTGCAGGGACAGGAGAGCGCGCCAGCGGCGGGGATCAGTGAGGACAGTGCGCAGCCGAGCGAGGGGCAGGGTGGCGTGGAGGCTGAGGCGGGCGCGGGGGGTACCCCAGACTCTTCTCCACCCCTGGAGCCCGCAGACACACCGCCCGCAGAGCAGCCAGGAGGTGGGCTGGAGTCGCCCCCAGCCCCGGACCCCCCGGAGCAGCCGGCTGATCTGCCAGCAGAGGCAGAGCCACAGGGAGCTGCCCAGCCTGTGCCGGACACTGCGCCACTGGCCCTGACCGCCGGCCCGCCGACGGCAGACACTGCCGAGCCCGAGGCCCCTGCAGCGCCAGCGGAGCAGAGCCGGGGGCTGGAGGTGGAGGAGGAGGCTGAGGCTGAGGCTGAGGCTGGAGACGTGGGGTTTCAGGATGACCCTTCTGACGCTGATTACAAGCCAGGTCTGTATTTCTGCTGATCAGCCCTTCCCTGTGACTCATCTGCCAGCAGCCAGATTATTGAGGTGTCAGTCTGTAAATCTGCAGGAGTGTCTCTCTTTGCATTTTTTGCTGATAATTAGCCTTTCGAAACAGGAATGATTTCATACTCTGTTGTTTTTTTTGGCATCTAGCAGTTAGGAGAAAGAACAGGTTTATTTTACATAGCGTAGCTGGGTGGTGCCTAATATGTAATTGTATTTATTCCCTTGTTGTAGTTATCCATCTATGTAAGAGTAACTTTGCTTTCAGAAGTGCCAATCAACTCCACCAGGGGGCAGCAAACCTACATGAGGACTCGGCACAAGAGAGCTGCCAGGAGGGCCGGCCAGGCCAGGATAGACGCAGCAGGTAATAATAAT